GACAGGCGAGCTGAAATGGAGTCATGTTTTTCCCAAGATCCAGATTAAACCAAGAATGAAGTATCCAGCCTGGAGATGCTTATCCCATAATTTCAAGCTTTAATAAGAGTTCAAAATCCTTTTTTGATGTCTTGTGGGAAGAGGAGGGGCGTATTTTCCATTTTACCCCCTCGTTCTCACTAACAAAACGTTGCAAGCCTATCGCTACACTGTCGCTATTTCCATGGCAAATGTTTAGGTAATCTCCATTCTTGAGTTTCACCAGTTCAAGCCGTCACAACTAGAACATATGTTACTTCCATGGAGTCAAATCACTCTCATTTCCTGCATGAACCCTTTCTATGAAAGATCCATTAGGGAAAAACTTTTACGCTAAAACTATCACTTCCAGCGTGAATGATTCCTTGAACATTGCAATCTTTTCATCTTTTTTTTTCCTCTTTAAGTCAAGGTTCAATTCTTTCATCTTTTTTTTATTCACATCACACAACTCATTTAGTAATCTAATCCCAAGTGTTTCTCGAGACCTGTATAGAGTTAATTCTTGTATAGTAAAAAGGAGTAATATTTACATCCACAGAGCCGACGTACTATTTCCTAAATCTCTTGACCGGGGGACAAGCTTAGTAGTGCATTGGAACCACTGCTATTTTCTCAACTGTTTTTTTTTTCTAACTACATTTATATATGTTACAAAGTATATACGTTACGAAGTATATAGTTTATAAAGTATACACGTCACAAAGTATATACGTTACAAAGTATATACGTTACAAAATAAACTAAGCACAACTGACTATTAAAAGATAAAACATTTTAACAGATTTTGACGTCATTCTTCGAGTTGGGGCAATCAGTGAATTTGTTTTACTAATTCTAACAGTAGAAAAACACTATATAAAATTCACTATTTTTTATCCATAATGTTAAATGTGCTAAAATTTTTCATCTTTTTAATAAGAAAAATCTCAAGCTGATGTTAACAACTGCCGCAAAACATTGTTGATTTATTTAAGATGGAATGATCTATTATGACATGTCTCTAATTTCTATTTAGATACATTGCACTGATTTTTTAAGTTTTCTAGTTGAATTGTTCACCTACATTGTATATGATCAATTATTGTACATAATAAAATTTGTATTTCATATGAATACTACCTTATGAAAATTGAAATGTAGTAGATGCAGAGAGATGAAAGCTTGCCTGTCTTCAAAGGTGGCTAGCCAATCCCTGTTGCATGCTCAGAGATATTTGAGTTTGTTTAACACCCACTGAGCCAACGTGTGGTTTATACTGCAACTATGCAGTATATTTTCAAAAGCACAGAGTTTATTCCTCATGTTGCCCAGACAGCTATATTGAAAGGAAAGAAACGTTGAAATAGAGATGTTATAATTTATCCGTCAACAATATTTTTATCAAAGGTTTATGATCTCCTGCCTTTTACTCCATATTTTCCCATCACCTATACCCTGCAATATTGGCAGTTGTTTTTTTTTTTCGATGTGTACAAGTTACGCTTTGCATCTCTACTATTATGCATATAGCCAGTATTTAAAATCCCTCACTTGATAATGGGGTCTGGTGCACCTTTTTCTTTAAGCTGCCAATAATATGCAGATGACAATAGTGTCTGATTAGCCTGTTTCTTTAAGACCCCAATAATATACAGATGATAATAGGTTCTGGGGCCCCTGTCTCGGCTTGGTATGGTTTGTTTTACAGCATATCAACTTCAATTGGTTATTTAACGCTGACAAGATTTCAATTGCTGGTAATATTTTTTTTTTTTTCAAAAATGTATTTCTTGTAATAATTTTTCCTTCAAAAACGTATTGCTGGGAAGTTTTTTTTTTTTACAAAAACGTATTTCTGGTATTAAAACCTATTTTTACACTTTCATAGTGTTTTGACTCCAGTTTGGTGATTAACTATTTGTCCATAGCTGGGAAGCGCCTAACAGGTGCTTTTTTCCAAATGTATTTCTGGTAATATTTTTTTTCAAAAATGTATTGATTGTAATATTTTTTCCAAAAATGTATTGCTGGTGATAATTTTTCCATGCAAAAAAATTCCATTGCTATGTAATTTTTTTAACAAAAAAAGTGTTGCTGGTATTAAAACCTATTTTTACACTTTCGTAGTATTTTGACCCCAGTTTGTGAGTTAGCTATTTACCCACAGCTGGGACCCTAACAGGTGCTACCACGCCGGGTCAGGGTGGACCTGGGAACACCAGCAATTGAGAGGTGGTTCCACGCTCCTCAAAGTTTCCTAATCAGAGGCCTTGCTGTTGGACGCAGTTTATCGCCTTACCCAGGACGCTCCCCTCTCACAAGACCCCAAGAATATGTACATGATAATAGGGTCTGGCACACCTGTTTTTTTTTTTAAGCCACCTCCCTAATATTATATGCATGTTAATAGAGTCGTGCTCGCCTGTTTCGTTAAGCCACGAATAGTACGCAGACGATAAGGTCAGGATCGTTTATTTTGTTTAGCCCCTCCCTATTGAACGCTGATGATAAGAGTCCGGTACACCTGATTCTTTCAGCCTTCAATATTTTGCAGATGATAATAGAAATTGGTTTGTCTGTTGCTTTAAGTCGCCAGTAGTATTTAAATGATAATAGCGCCTGGATCACCTGTTTCGTTATGCCCACATCTCAATAGTATATGGAAAAAAAGAAATAAGCCTGACATCTCGACTATATGCGAAAAGGCTGCCGAGTCGACTTAAACAGTCTCCGATTCAAAGTGATCTCATGTATGTATATTTAACTCCCAAGCTGCCTTTGCCTGTCTCATCCTCTAAAGCAATCCTCTCGATCCATCACTGTACCTGCACGTGAACATAGAAGCACAGTGCTTCACCCCCCTAAGGGAAATGCCCGGCTAGTTAAGGTCAGACCACTGACAAGCAAATCCGTGGTATTGAACGAGATATTTACTGGTGCCTATCTTAATTCACTAAAGGCAAAATTACTGATTTCATTGTTATAAATCATTCTTATTTTCATTGATTTCTGCTGTAGACTCATTTCCCTTCCGGGTCCCCACTAGAGAGACTTGGGCTCAGAAATGTCATCATGACATTTTCCAGGGAACATTTTTGTAAGAATAAATAAAAATAAAACAATTTAAAAACAGAGATTTTACATCTTTTTAGATAATCCCTTCGTAAGGTGTGAGCTGTACTTGTGAAAACGAGTGTTGGCATTTCTTTCAGACATAGGCTATCACGGATCCCATCAGTGTGTCTACGAAAACCTTTTTCCAATCAAAGCCACGGACCCAACCACAACTGGAATTACTGATACCTCTATGTGCCATATTTTAGTAGTTCTAGTTTTTCTTCTTGTTCTTTTTTTTGTTCTTCTTCTCCTCCTCTTTCTTTTTCTTCTTCTTTTTCTCCTTCTTCTAGTTCGTCTTCTAGTTCTTCTCCTTCTTCTTCTTCTTCTTCTTCTTCTTCTTCTAGTTCTTCGTCTTCTTCTCCTTTTCTTGTTGTTGTTGTTGTTCTTCTTCTAGTTCTTCTTCTTCTTCTTCATCTAGTTTTTCTTCTCCTTCTTCTTCTAGTTCTTCTTCTACTAGTTCTTCTTCTTCTTCTTCTTCTTTTTCTTCTTCTTCTTCTCGTTCTTCGTCTTCTTCTCCTTCTTCTTCTAGTTCTTCTCCTTCTTCTTGTTCTTGTTCTTCTAGTTCTTCTTCTTCTCATCCTTCATCTAGTTCTTCTTCTCCTTCTTCTTCTTCTTCTAGTTCTAATTTTCCTTCTTCTTCTTCTTCTCTTCTTCTTTATTATTATTATTATTTATTCTTCTTTCTAGTTCTGCGGAAGACCTAAGGCAGGTCGTGGTGTGTTGTTATAATTTCATGTTAATTTTTTTTTTTTTTTTTTTATTATGAAGTTTATAATTATTAATTATTATTATTATTTCATGTGTTGTTTTGTTTCATTATTATTATTATTATTATTATATTTCGATTTCTGTTATGGTCACCTTACCTACCAAGTCTGCGGGAAGACCTAAGACAGGTAGCGGCGCGTTGTTATGGCTACATTTCATGATTTGTTTTTCGAACTCCCATAACATCACTAGCGTTACATGGACAAAGTTCTTCTTAATGTGTGGGTTCTACTTATCAAGACAATCTTTTCTATTTATCTTAAGTTGAGATTTCCGGGGATATTTACAATGTGTTGTGGTGTTCCTTTTTATATCATTCTAAGCGAAACCTACAATTTCTGTTCCTGTGGCCTTTGATCAAAATGTCTGGGCGATTAGCTTTGATTTTTCTGTCTCTGTGTATTGTAAAATCCCATAAAATTGTTGCAGATCCTATCTCTGTAATCGGGTCTGGATGATGTTCATACCAGTTTCTTGGTGTTTCCTTTCCGTAAAAGTTGCATATTTTCCAGTGCAGATATTGGCCTACTCTATCAGGCCAAGTTTTATATTCAGCTGGTGCTAACACTGTCCAACCTGATATTATTATTATTATTATTATTATTATTATTATTATTATTATTATTATTATTATAATATACACAAATCTCTTCGCTATACACCAATCGCACGTAAAATATCACAATTGCAATCTTTTACTATTCATCACATGACGGCTTCGAAGACTGAGAAAGGTTTGCAGAATTCCTGTTGGGACTATAATGTTATTGTTACACAATTGCGATTTACACTTAGGATTAATAGGAAAGCAATATTTGCAAAGGGTTTGGAATCTTTTTATTTGCTTGTCGTTTTAGTTTCTGGAAATTACACGAAAAGAAGTGAATGAAAAAAATCGTCTGCAGCTTTTCTTTTCCTATCTCCAGCACAGAAAATTTCCATTAACAATTCGCTATTCATTGTACGAAACTGCGGTCAATATTAAATGGCTGGTTTTATAGCTACCAGCAGTGGTCAATTAGTTTTAATGTACACAGCGTGGCTATGTTATGGAAACAGGTAGATTATAATATAACAGGCGCTGAGTAACCTTTATGACACTAGCAGACACGAATTTCGGCTATCTATCTATCTATCTATCTATCTATCTATCTATCTATCTATCTATCTATCTAGTTAGCTAGCTATCTCAATTTATTCATATCTATCTATCTAGTTAGCTAACTATCTCAATCTATTCATATCTATCTATCTATCTATTTATCTATCTATCTATCTATCTCAATCTATTCATATCTATCTATCTATCTATCTCAATCTATTCATATCTATCTATCTATCTATCTATCTATCTATCTATCTATCTATCTATCTATCTATCTAGTTAGCTAGCTATCTCAATCTGTTCATATCTCTCTATCTATCTATCTAGTTAGCTAGCTATCCCAATCTGTTCATATCTATCTATCTATCTATCTATCTATCTATCTATCTAGTTAGCTACTATCTCAATCTGTTCATATCTATCTATCTATCTATCCATCATCTATTCATTCATCATTCATTCAGTTAGCTAGCTATCTCAATCTGTTCATATCTATCTATTCATCTATCTATCTATCTATCTATCTATCTATCTATTCATCTAGTTAGCTAGCTATCTCAATCTGTTCATATCTATCTATCTATCTATCTATCTATCTATCTATCTATCTATCTATCTATCTAGTTAGCTAGCTATCTCAATCTGTTCATATCTATCTATCTATCTATCTATCTATCTATCTATCTATCTATATCTATCTATCTATTTATTTATGAGTCGCCTTTGCCTATTCTCCGGCTTGGAGCTCGACTTAGTTGTCAGAGACTATTTGATACAAATGCCACGGAAGTATTTTATACATAACCTTTGGAACATAATGTACATATATAAGCATTTATATATATATATCCCAGCGTGCGGCACCTTTGTAAAGTACCAGAAAACCATATCACGGGTTGACCCAAGCCTTGTGAATGAAACTGAGTAGACGGAGATCTTGTGGTCCGTCCATAGCTGTGCTAGCACGAATCCACAAGTCATCTTGACCGAGGGTTTGAGTGAGCTGGCCTTGTTCCGATTGTTGATCACGCTAGATAACACGCTCTCTCCCAGAAACTGTAACTAAGGTCTGCTCAACATAGTTGCAGTATAAACCACAGGTGGGCTCTGTAGGTATTGAGCAAATACAAATGTGTCTGAGCGAGCCTCTGCAATAGGGATTGGCTAACCGTCCTAGCTGACGGATATCCTCGAATACGAGTGGCCAGCTATTGTATATATATATATATATATATATATATATATATATATATATATGTAAGCAAATATATGGATATAGATCCGACAGTATGAAGAAAAATATACGGAAAAACAAACAAAAATCCTAATATGCGATTATGCTGTTTTAATGTTAATATATTGTCAACGTCGGACGTTTCTGTCTAGTAGACCATCTTCAGGACATATTCATAAAACATAATTTCCTTCTTTAATATTTCCCCTTTTCTAGCAAGATTAATGCTCGACAACCGTACATATAAGTTTTAGATTAAAATAAAATTCTTTTCATTTTTCATTCAAAATACTATATTTTAGGAAAAATAACGGATTTTTTAATTAATAAAATGTTCTGTAAACAAAAAACACTAGAAAGTAAGATCAATTAGGAAATAGTCCATAAACAAATATCGAATTTTTTTTTTTTTTTACGTTTAGAAAAAGACAGCAGAAACAAAAAAATGAAAATATATATTACGATTTAAGTCTAAACTACTCGGACATTATGAAGTTATTATTTAACATACAATACAATCATTTATACTGCCTTTTTGACAGTATTAAATCTTTAACTATCAATTGATAAAGAATGAACGAGAGTAAAAAAATGAAAAGTTGACAAATATAACTTTAGGTAAGCAAAAACAGAAAGGAAAAATAAGACAAACGATTGTCAAGTTAGTTGTATTAAAGCAAATAAATACTAACAAAGAAAAACCCAGTAACTGTGGAAAAATTTGAAAGAAAAAAAATAATAAACAATGCATATATAACTTCAAATAAATATAATAATCAACATAGATAAATAAAATGAAATAAAATGTAGACAATCCTTCTTCAAATCTTAAAGACTGTCACTACGGAATAAAAAAAGAACATTACCCAATTGCAAAAATCACTTGAAGAATTCCATCAAGAGGAATAACTGAAATGAACAGCACATGCAACTAGAAGGAAAATAATGATATACACAACGTGTTGACCTTCCACATCACATTAAACAAAGGTTTAGGTAGGAAATCCCATCAATACTAGAAAGAGTTATAACGGAAGATGCCTATTTGCTTGAAGTTTTTTTAAATATTTTATAAGCTTCAAGCAACAGTAGCGTTGACTGGTTGGTCAGTAAATGAAGAATGTTTCTTGTATGGAAACGGCTATTCTCACCATTACCAATATAGATAATACCAATGTAGATAATTTAGTTCTTTTCGGAAAAACTATACTGTCCCCGAAATGGTCAAGTGAGGCGTCGAAGTGATAGATGAAGAGAGTTAGAGAAAGAGAACGAATAACAAGAAGTGAGAGACAAGAAACGTTAATAAAGAAGAGAATGTAAAAGTTGTTAGAATAAAAAAAATCTGTTTTTTTAATATATATTTGAAATAAGCCAATTTGTAAAGATACAATGCAGATGCCAAATATCGTTAATTTCTTATATACTGATAATTTCATATGTCTATTATATATATATATATATATATATATATATATATATATATATATATATATATATATATGTATGTATGTATGCAAGTGCGTGTTCGTAAATATTTATATATACCTCTGTGAACTCTCTCTCTCACACACACACACACACACACATATATATATATATATATATGAAGAAATATAGTCAAGGTGTGCTATATTTATGGGATAAAGTGCTCAATATCAGAGATAAGTGTGTGTAAATATATAGTCTGAACATAAAGTCAATCGGGCCCTGACGATTGTCTGTTTGAAACAGACTGCGCCGTAAGTGTTGACTTCTATGTGTACTTTTATATTATTTATATATATATATATATATATATATATATATATATATATATATATATATATATATATATATATATTGTGCAGAATCCAGTCTTTAGGATAACACTTTTTTACACACACACACACACACACGCACACACACACACATATATATATATAGGTATATATATACAAGGTAATTCAATCCTTCTTCAGAAGGTATCAGCTTGAGGCAATCAGATATCTAGCCACATTGATGAGCGCGCATATACGGTTGGTAATATCTAGTTATTTGATTTACTTATCTCTCTCTCTCTCTCTCTTCTCTCTCTCTCTCTCTATATATATATATATATATATATATATATATATATATATATATATACGCGCGTCTATGTGTCAAAAGTGAGTAATGGTAATGTTAGCTATTTCCTTACAAGGAAACACTCGGCATTCATTAACCGAACAGCCAGTACTGCTGTTGGAAGGGCTTTCCTAAACAGGGGACACGAGGTAACCTATCTACTCTTATTGAGGAAAAAAGAAATAAAATAAAATATGAAAATAAATAATTAGTAAATAAAGGTTCAGAGTTCGGGCAGAGACATAGGAATTATAACGTTCAAGTGGAGTTTTACAAGAGACTTGAAATCCAATCCTAAACAGGAAACAAAGTATAATCCTCTACTCCCGTTCAAAATACCGAAGTCGGATGCGAACCGGACGATAGACAAACCTAAAAATACACCTGTTTAACTTTAAATTTAAATTTAAATATATATATATATATATATATATATATATATATATATATATATATATATATGGCCTCTAATGTATATAGACTGTACTAGCTTTGAACAGCTTTTTCCTTTTTGTTTTTTATCGCAATTATTTTTTTGTTTTTTTTTATTTTATATCCCACATTATAACAGCAATAGCTTTATTAAGAAATTCGATTATTTTTAACTCGAATATAAATTTGCCTACATAGACTCAGAAATTAGTGCACTTTCTATACGTTTAAACCATGAAAAGTTACTTTCTCTGTTAATGAAAACTGCATTTTTTGTTATATACCATACTTATGAACATCAATAGGTATGTCTTAATCCTCATAAATACGTTGGGCACTATTGTGTAATATGTGCGTCTAAGTAGTGCACCACTAGCAGTGGCTTACCTACTTAACGCCGCTGGCGAGTATTGTATTTTGTTGATGTTATAAAGATTAGCATTTCATTTCCAACGTCTGTTTTGAGTATTCCTCATTAAGTAATTCTTTCTAGGTTACAACAATTTTTGAAACTGATATTATCATCGACGTTTGTCTTGACATAAAGCGGACGCTTCCAATTATAAACGTTACTCCTTTCCGATGCAAGCTTTTCGGGATTATACCGCTGATGAAAATTTAAAATAAATTATTTTCGGAGGAGATGGCGGAGAGGGGGGGTTGTCAATTTACAGTTGTCTTTTATCTCCCTCGAAACAGGAATTGTTACTTTTATAGCGCTGTTTTCAATCGCGTAATGGTTTTTATACACTTCGCACGCGTTCATTTGTAAAACGCATTTACGTACGCTTCTGGCTAGACGCAGACGTATAAAGAAAAAGCCCACAAAAGCTAATCATTAGCCAAGGTGGAGATCTCCGTCAGGGAGCCTGCCTCTTTGCGCATCGTTGAACACGCACGCACAATAAGACACGCAAGCAAGCACTCATACAGATATAACACCCCCCCACACACACATACAGCACTTTTTCCCATATATATATATATATATATATATATATATATATATAGATAGATAGATAGATAGATAGATGAATGGAAAAAGTGCTGAACATCTTGGCTCGATGCACTTTCTGCAAAAATCCATATTTTGTTATTTGGTCATGGAATTATTGATTTTGGAAAGTGGGTCGGTCAGGAACATTTAACCCCCCCTCAACTACATATATATATATATATATATATATATATATATATATATATATATATATATAGCTACACACACACACACACACACACACACACACACACATATATATATATATATATATATATATATATATATATATATATCGAGTGGGTTTTAAATGTTCCTGCCAACCCACTTTCCAAAATCAGTAATACCATGACGAAACATCAGAATACGGATTTTGCGAAGTACATCGGTCGGAGAATTCTTCAGCACTCTTTTTCTACAAATATATATATATATATATATGCGTGTGTGTGTGTGCGTGCGTGTGTGTGTGTGTCTATAATTGTATGTTTATAAGTATATATAACTGTAAGCATTAACCCCCACCCCAGTTGCTACGAGTTTATAATCAATCAATGAGCCACTAATAATAATAATAATAATAAATCCCATGCATTCGCTTGCACGTTGCTAGGACATTCAAAAGACCGGAATATACACACGTGCAAACGCAGACGAACATACGCTGATATGAACGTGGCACAAATGCATGCATACAGACTGTTCATTACGGGTTCCACACACACTCGAGAACTTTGTTATATTAGCTTTCCTCCAAGAGATAAACTTTTGCACCTAATTCATCGCCTTTAAAATTAATGTATACAACATTTTTATTTGAGTGAAGTCAACTTTATCACATGTTTATATTATTAAATTAATTACATAGTAGTGAAGAAACTTTACGAAATTAAACTGCTAACCCACGCACTGTAGCATGTTCCTTCATTAGATTCGACCAACCCTATAAAATAGCAGGAATTCAAATACTTACCCCCATTTGTATCAGTAAATCATTATTATCGCCAAAAAAATTCTTACAATCCAAAAATATTTTCTGGCTTTAAATAACCTGAAAAGAGTTGATAAACCGTAAAAAACAAAACAATTACTAATTTTTATCTCACTCAATCAAATCCATCTAAAGATTTTGTCTCAGAGAAACAGATTGCTTGCGATTGTTTTCTAATATTCAAGGTAAGCAGGCCTTGAAAATCATCATTCCCACTTCCACACTTTTGCCTGGGCTCGAACCATTAACTAGCGCTTGTGATTTTGTGATCTTGTAGCAGCGGGTTCTGTCAAGCAAATAAATCCTCTTATATGATAAATGGACAAGATGATTAAAATAATATCAGAAATGTTATTTACACATTTTTTTCTTCGTCCTTCTCTCAGATTTTAACCTGATAGATTGTCGGCTAATGGAATAGAACCTACGACCTCATACTTAGCCTTTCATCTCTTATCGCCAGAGCTGAATCTGCAAATGGTGATCTCTCTTAATCGGAAGTCGAGCAATGCAGTACACCAGACCTTAATGACCTCTCTCTCTCTCTCTCTCTCTCTCTCTCTCTCTCTCTTTCAAATGTTCTATCTCACCCTTTTCTCCGCCCCACAAATTCTTTTTATTGATTAATTCAGATAGTTTTTTTTTTTTACCTTAGATGAATCTGGGACAAGGCCAAATCATCTGAGCATTGTGTGAACATTGAAATCACTCCAATATCAGCAAGATTAGCCCTCAATAGCTTTTCTTTATGAAATGCACCACTATAGACAGATAGATAGATAGACAGATGTATCTCGATAGATAAGTCAGGCACAAGTCAACAAGAAACGCCAAAATCAAATCTTGATGTATAAATTTATAAATTTTTAATATTATTCATTTATACTAGAAAAACCTGTGAGAATTTTACGGTTTTCTCATTTGAATTTTCTGATGAATTTTAATTCTTGAGTTGATGATTGAATAAGCTGATGGCGAGTTCTACGACAATAACATATCTATAGACATTCCCTTGTCACATCGTTAAATAGTTGAGCTTAACAACTTTAATAAAATATTTCAATAACAACAATAAATATAAAAGCTGGTCATTATTTTAAGAAGTGGGTACAAATAAAAAGATTTGAACCTGACAATTTTTTCTATTTCACTGAAACAGCCGTCAAACACTTCTATCTTCTCTTTTATTCTTTCTTTCTTTCATTCATTTTCTCAATGAAACCAAGTAGCGTTTTGCCCCATTTTCCACGTCGTCAAAACGGAATAGTTCATTATTAATGAGGTATTGGCAGGACGTAACAATCGTGTGAACTAACGAAGGGAGGGACTAACACTATTATAATAGTATTTTTAAGCACTGTTCTCAGGAGCCATCTCCGATTATGTGTATAAAATCTGAGAATAGGATTATAAAGACGTCCGTCAGTTATGTGCCATGCGTGATACACGCTTAAGCGATCATTTATCTTCCGATACATGATTCACGAGGCAATTTTTTTTCCAGCAGTAGGTTGCCATTTCTTTCTGCGGTAGACCAGTTACCAGCCAAGGCTATAGAACAGGATATGTCCTACTATTTACCCATAGCTGAAGAGGAGAAGAAGAGGATTCACACCTTTCTCAAGGGTATTAGCACGTAAGTGAATGCAATGGATCCGAATGGAATTCGAACTCTGCTCTCCGATTCCTCAATCCGAGCCGCTATCCATTACTCCATCGTGATATTTTTAGTATTCGTACATTAAGTCAAGTACCACGCAATATACACGCTTGGGCGATAATATCTCTTTCGATTCACACGGAAGATTTTCCTGCAGTAGGCTGTCGTTTCTGCAGTAGACTGATTGCCAACCAAGGCTAAAGGGCCCAGTGTATCCTGCTATGCAACCCATAGCTGAGGTGGTGGTGGGGGAGATAGATTCCTACAGTCTGTCTCTTTTTAAGTTTATTAAAAATCTCGAATGCGCAGCTTGGTAGATGTAATTCACACTGTTTTTAAAAAAAAGGCAAAATCTATCTGTCTGTCTGTCTGTCTGTCTATCTATCTATCTATCTATCTAGATGTGTGTGTTTCTGTGTCAGCTAGCATATATATATTAAGAGATATCACTTTCTAAACTCTTATATTTATGGTGAATATCTTGGCTAATATGTGCTTATTCACTTATATATATATATATATATATATATATATATATATATATATATATAGATAGATAGATAGATAATAAACAGATTGATATAGACAGATATGAACAGGCATAGAGAGAGAGAGAGACAGATATGAACACAGATAGATAGATAGATAGATAGATAGATAGATAGATAGAAAATGAACAGATTGATATAGACAGATATGAACAGACATAGAGTGAGAGAGACAGATATGAACACAGATAGATAGATAGATAGATAGATAGATATGAAGAGTTTTACATGAAGTAGATAGATAGATAGATAGATAGATAGATAGATAGATATGAACAGGCATAGAGAGAGAGACAGATATGAACACATAGATAGATAGATAGATAGATAGATAGATAGATAGATATGAAGAGTTTTACATGAAGTAGATAGATAGATAGATAGATAGATAGATAGATAGATCTTTATGAGTTTGTGTTCCCGATATGTACAAATGAGTGATTTCAGGTTTTTGGAGTGTAAAATTAGACAAGCGTATGGGGACGCTACGTCACCGTCAAAGTAACGATCCCCCACCTACACGCGCGCACCCCCTCCACCTACACACACACAAGCACACTCGCATACAGAGAGATGGACGTGCACACACAAGAACATGCACCGACACATCCGCACCCCCCCTAATCTAGCGAGCGCACTCATCCAAATCCCTGTTGGGAGAGGAAATTTTAGCGCGTGGGCCGAGGTGAACAATCGCGGTTGGGTGGGGCGAAATCGTCGAGCCCCAGGTAGAGAATGGTCAAGGTGAAAGGATGGGTGGGTCACTGAAAAAGAATGGAAGAGTAAGCCGAGTGCCATTTTTATTTACGTTAACATTCTTTGTTTTCAAACGAGAGGCAAATTCGCGTTTTTCCAAAAGTTCTACGCCGTGCGAACAGTAATTGCCGTTGCGCAGTCATTACCGCTATCTTAACACTATTATTATTATTATTATTATTATTATTAGAGAAGTGCGTGATTTTAGAAAAGCAAAAGAAAAGACATTGTTTAACAATGTTACAATATTTCGTCATCATGTTTGTCTTCTTAAAAGTCATGTTGAAAAATTACATACTATTATAAAAAGTTATTTTGAGAAAATTCAATTCTTTGTACAAACGTTGCTTGTCTTGAGAAAAAAAACAGTTGTAGTGGTAATCAACGCGACAAAACGAATGAAACTCAGCCAGCGCGAATGGAGTGCAACTTAAACATCAGTAACATGATGGGGACTGTAAACATGTAGATTTTTTTCCGTCAGTTTGTAAAAGAAATTAATCAAACAATTTATTATAATTTTATGGAACACTCCTGTCAATTTTGCTTAATTCTCCGAGGTGGAACGTAAACCGTTTGCATTTTTAATTAGTTTCATGCCTTTTAAGGGCCGAAAAATTTATTATTATTATTATCATTATTATTATCATTATTATTATTATTATTATAACGTTAGCATCTGATGTTTTCAAACAAATCTATATTATAAAAATAAAGCTGATTCCCTGTTCGACACACTGTGTTTGATTTAGCATACGTTTATGCAATGTTTATATGTATGTTTGTGTTGTGACTTACACGTCCTTGTACTATTTAAGCACACGCAATCTCACACCTAATTTAACTGAGTTTAAAATAAGTCATAGGAATAATATATTCCCTTCCCAATCAGTATGGATGATCTCTAGTTTGGGCTGAGCGATAAAATCATAAAGTTGGGTACAAGAAAAAAAGAAAAAAATTGTAATTTTTTAAAACCTAAAAAAATCAGATAAATATAAGATTTTATTGAAATTTTTTAAAATTATTCAGTAATAATTTACACTATTTACATTGTTCGGACTATTGTCCTCATCTTTATTGTCATACTCACGTCGTTACAACTGAAGAAGGCCGAAGCGTACAACGGCTGAAACGTCGTGAATATGCCAACAAAGATGAGGACGACAGTCCGAACAATGTAAATAGTGTAAATTATTACTGAATAATTTTAAAAAATTTCAATAAAATCTTATATTTATCTGATTTACGAACAATGTAAATAGTGTATATAGTTACAATACCTCATCTCAGAAATATAGACAGATATATTAAGCAAAAAATTGACTTATTTTTTAAAGCTTTTTTTTTTTTAGTTTGGTAGAAATATATTCAGGTCCGTCATTGAATTAGAATATACATGTACATACAGAATAAAATCGGTATCTGTGTTATGGGAGATAACTTCCTTTGCTCTCTGGATGCAACAGCTGGGTAACAAAAAATAGTATCAAGGAACACGTCGGCTAAATGGTTTGGTTTAGTTTGTTTTGTTTTACGGCATATCAACTTCAATGGGTTATATAATGCCGACAATTTTCATTGTTCGTAATATATTTTTCCCCCAAAATGTATTGCTGGCAATAATTTTTTTTTTTTAAGTATTTCTGGTATTAAAACTTATATTTAAACATTCATAGTGTTTTGACTCCAGTTTGGGCGGTTAATTATTTGCCTATAGCTAGGACCCTAACAGGTGCTACCACTCCGGGTCAGGATGGAACTGGGAAAGACCAGCAATTAGGTGGTTCCACGCTCCTCAAAACCTCCAGATCAGAGGCCTTGCTGTTGGATGTAGTTTATCGTCTTACCGAGGACACGGATGTAATTTATCATCAGACACAAGACGAGTCGCGTAAATGAAAAGATTCCATAATGATGATGAAAATGTACCATTGGAACTGTGGAAAATTATTCAATTCATTATAAATTTCTTTCAAGAAAGAAAGCTACAAAAATATAAAACTGGTTTCTGAATGGTTTATGTAATAAAGCTATTAGGAAAAGAAAAACACGCAGACCGGACAAAGGTGCACATATCTATCAGATGTCCCTTTGAAGTCATTTGCATGAATCGTTCTGTATTTTTAAATTTGTAACTAGCAGTATAACCCGTCTACGACCGGATATTACATTACTGGGAATTTTTGGAGGTCAGTTGGGGCAGTTTAAGATCAGCCCACTCGAAAATCAATATTAGTAACAACGATTGAGTGCAATTGAGACACATCCCCAAATGGTGGGGGGTCAACAATTTGAAGGGGGGACTGAAAAGGGCCGTTTTTGCGTTCTCAATCTTGCAAGGAATGAAGCTTTTTCATGGACCATCATAATAATAATATACGGTAATTTTTATTTATAATATGATTTTTTTTTATAATTCTAATAATGTTTTGCGTTAGATTTCAACTTTCTAAATTGATTGTACGCTGTTTTTTACAGACATTAAATTTTGAGGTTGATTTTTGCACAAAGTGTAAAAAATCAGTTTTTCGATTTTTCACCTTCAAGGTTGTAATTTTTTTCAGCTAATTTGGACTCAAAACCAGCACTGAAAAATTATCTATCAAAAAAAAAAAAAAAAAAAATTAATCGAAATCGGATGAAGACTGTGGAAACACATAAACAACATCCGATCACACACACACACACACAAAACATTTTGAGAATTATAGATATAGATAATACGGTATTCGAAATTAAAAGCAAATTGAGATTTGAAATTTGCTCATCTTGTCGTCAGCAAAGTGATGAGCACAGTCAAATTATTCAGGATGTATACAGAATTTATTATGTTGCGAAAGCACCGTTTCTGCAAAACCCAGATACAACAGACACTGAACTGGGAACACGATGCATCTACCCATCATTACCGGCGCGCCTGGAATAATCCAGAAAAGCCATTCAATGGAACTGGAATAACTAGAAAACAGAAGTAGAATCGAAAATCCTCCACTGAGTACAGTGTTGACCTATTGAGAAGCATTGCTGTCACTTGATCTCCAGTGAAAATTACAAGATAATATTGATATGAAAACTCAATGAAAAACAAACCTAAGACTATAATTATAAACTTAAAAGGAAATGAAAAAACTAGAATTAATAAATATAAATTTGAAAATACTTATCAGCGCAATAAAAGTAGACATTAAAAGGCCATAACAAAACAGAAAAATCTATATATTACCGTAACTTGGTAATACCGAAATATAACCATAGGCTAGTAATGCCGAAATATAACAATTAAAAACAGCTAAACAAGTGCGGAAAGTGTATTTAACAGAGAATTGAAAGAGCGACACTGAGATCAGTAGGATATTGGGATAGCCGAAGAAGCATTCCAAAAGCTAAGCAGAGTAATAAGAAATAGGAAAAATTCGCTAGAAACAAAGAAAAGAGTACTAAACTGCTAGGTGATATCTGTCCACCTATATGGCTGTGGGTGCTGGACGATCTTCTCAGAGATGAAGAGGAAACTTGAAGCAACAAGAATGCGGTTCCACAGAATGATGCTGAGGATACCGTGGATCGAACGTGTGAGTAACGACGAAGTTTTGTAGAAAATGGTAACAAAAGGACAGTAATGCTTAACATCAGGAAAAGACAGTTGATGTTTCTAGGTCATATAATGAGGAAGGACGACTCGGAAAATTTGATACTCACATGGCCAGCAAAAGGGACAGAGGAAGATATCGCATAACATACTTAGTGAGCTTGGCAGAACAGGGCTTAAGGGAAATAACAGAAAGGCAAAGTTTATTAAGAGATACAAGAGACAGGAAGTTGTGGAGAACCATGATCGCTTACGTCCTTAGGGGACACGTCACAAAAAGAAGAAAAAATCGGTTTATTGATTCTCTCTTAACGGAGCAAAAATCAAGGAAAACACTATGTGCACAACGACTATAAAGTATACAACTCCAGAGTAATGACAAATGTTTAAAAAAAGATAATAATTTAATGATTAATTACCTTTAAGCCCACCAACCACTCATCTGCTTATAGAGAGGTGTCTGGTAGGACTTCATATATACTGACACAAAAATTAACCTTATTTGCATTGAGAACATGTCCGGTCTATAAGACCGGACACACTGCTGGTTTTTGATCAAATGTTTAGTTATCTCTGAACATGATATTTTAACGCACCTATGTAAATTGTCCACCTTTCCTTCATTGACATAGACTATAGATCTATATAGAGAAGAAAAGATGTTAACGCGTGTGTGTTCACAGACACCTATGGTTACGTCTTTATTAATATATACTACACATCCATGGAGCAATGGGGATTCAGCTGAATCTTCTGTTCCCACCTTTTGTTTAAAAATAATTTGGATCTGACAATCATATTGATCTGACAATTATATTGATCTGACAATTATATTGATCTAAGAATTATATTGATCTGAGATGTATCATTTGTTTAAAATAATTACTCCTGTTAATTTTCAAAATAATTCAGAAAACTTTATTTTTCTGTTTTTTTGTTTGTTCTTTTAATCGAAATATTAGCTTCTAAAACTGTTATATAAGTCTTATATGCATTAAAATTTATTGGTCTCATTCCAGAAAATAAGTAAGAAGGAAAGGGTGTAAAATTTGTATTTACAATCAAAACAAAAAAAAAAACAAAAAAAAAAAAAATGAAAATTTTACTGAATGATAATTATGATTTACTAAGCGTAGCTTCGATGTAGCATAAGGCTGAAAGTATGGGCCACCCAGTGAGGATCGAATTCGTTATACCACGTCCGGCCCAAGTGTAGGATATATTTAAAAAAAAAATTCTTTTATGAAAGAATCAAATATAAAATATCGACTCGGGAATCTTTGAAAGATAATATCTGATTTACACTCGCTTTAAAATCTGATTAATCCCCCCCTCCGCTTAATATCTGTTATACCCCCACACATATACACCATTAACATCTGATTTCTTATTATTACTTATGTGCCATGCCCCCCCCCTAGAATGTAGGCAATCATGGCTCTCCAAAATTTCCTGTCCTTTGTAGCACTTAATACATTTGCTTTTTCTGTTATTTCTCCAAAACCCTGTTCCACCATCCATTTACTTAAGCTCACCATGTATGCTATGCGTTGTATTCCTATGTCCTTCTTACATTCAGTTTGTCTTGTGAGTATCAAACTTTCTGATGTGGGGCCAAAGTTGGGACCACAGAAGTAAAACATGGAACACGGATTAGATATAAGAAAGATATATTAACAACAGGTTACAGAGATAGTGTAAGCGGAGCTTACTATATCACTCTCTACGTCACTCAGTGTGTCTCTCTAGAGTGCTATGTCGCCTACTTAATATAGGCCTGGAAGAGTCTATTGTGTAGGTAGTTTCCGGTCTCACAATACTTTCCAAGCCCTCCTTCCTCATTATGTGCCCCAGAAATTTCAACTGTTTCTTCCTGATGTTAAGCATAAATTTGCTTTTTTGCTTCCGTTTTCTCTAAAACGTCGTCGTTTTTTCCATGATGGTATCCTCATCATCCTTCTGGAGAACCAGATTGCTGCTGCCTCGAGTCTCTACTACATCACGGAGAGGATTGTCCAGCTTTCACTGGCTTATAAAAGGAAGGTTATTACCAAAGATTTCAGTATTCTTTTTCCATGTTTCTAACGAGATTTTTTTTCCGTTTCTTAATACTTTGCTTAGCTTTTGGAATTCATCTTCAGTCATCCCAATGCGTCTTCGGATTTCAGTTTCACATTTTTCGTTCTCTGTTAGAAAACTTCCCAGGCCCGTTTTTTATCTTATTTTTTCCTACCCATCATTTAACATCTGATGTGGGTCCACATTTATTCCGTGTCGCCCTGTTCAAAACACACACACAAGCACATCTATCTATCTATCTATCTATCTATCTATCTATCTATCTATCTATCTATCTATCTGTTTCGTTAAAATTGAAAACTTGTATAAAAAGAAGGATTGCTACCCAAATACATATACATATATATATATATATATATATATATATATATATATATATATATATATATAATTTTTTCATATAGACAAAAATTTACTCACTACAAAGATGAAAAATTCTTTTCAGTGCATTTAAAATTGAACTCGAGAGGTGAGAACCAAAATTTTGATTCTCACCTGTCGAAGTGCAATTTCAAATACACTGAAACGAAGTTGCATCTTTGTAGTGAGTAATCAAATATTTTGTCTATATGAAAAAATTATAATAAATAG